GGCGCCGCTCCGCGGACGCTAGGGCATGATTGATTGGTGTAGAGAGGGTTGACCACCTCCGCTGCGCTGCGGTGAGCTCAGAAACCCTTACTCAAAGCAAAACTATATTTAGAATATAAAATATACTGTGCTCAAGTTATGTTGGGTTGCAACAAACGATGTACACAATATCCTTAGTGCTTACGTGTTCTACATCACCAATTGCCTGTCAGCCTACCTCTTGTATTATTTGAAGTCATTTTTGACAGCTTCACTTATAAGAGGTCTGCGTGACGACTGGCTGTTACAAATAGATACCCGCGTGATGGATGGCTATTGTTGAGCATCATGGTACAGGTAGACGTGACAGTAAACTATTGTGAAGATGAAGTATTCGCCGTTACCACCGGGGCTATAAGTCATCTGCATGATGAACACTGTCTTTCCCTAAAAGATTTGTCTTAATTCTCGGCTGAGCGCTTCGCTCCTGAAATGCCACACTTTCAGGTGCGCTTCATTGCAAAGTTACTTTCGGTTATTTAGAAGGTGGATCAGTATTATTGGTGCGCCAAACCTCAGCATAAATCGGTGAGGAGATCCCAGATAAGTTTAGCGCTAGTAAATACGACGACCGAAGTGTATTGGGATACAACGAAATCGGGTGAATTGAGTGACGTGTACTATTTGTCTAGCCGAGAGGTATTATATACCATATAGCTGATTGCGACGGTCCGTTAGAGCGAGTTTGTCTGTCTCTGCATGAATATTATTGTTTAGAGCCGCTAGTATCTGCCGAGGGTCACAGAATATACCAATTTCGCCTCTCCATATGCCTCGCTGAGCTCTTCATAGTATCATGATATCATTGAAGGGCCTGTACGTGATGTTCGCTGACTCGTATCAATTAAATTAATAATAAATTTAATCTCATAACCCTTCTATGATAGGATGAACGCCATTGACTGACTTACCGACTTATTTGCATAGCTAATGATTATCAGAGATCCGTATATCCTTTCCGAGTGACATTTACTGGCTCCGATATGTATGGCGAGCATACGAAGCCACTTGGCTGTAGGCATATTATCAGATCGTAGTGATACGTAGACTTGTATCGAATAGTAGCCCGTGTACGTTACATAAAGTACTTTCGCTGTCTACTTTTCAGTTCGGCGTGCTATTTGATGTGTCAGTGCGTAGCTCATTTCGCAAGGTCTCAAATGGGTGTATATGCTATGCCCTCGGGATAGCCACAACCTATGCATAGGGTCCCTGTCGCTTTCACGGTACATTTGCGTCGTCGTGCTGGCTTACTGTGCTTACGCTTCTGATGTATCAGTCTATATGACCAAGCAAGTCACTTACTGGGCACAGGCCATACTGCAGCGATACTGGCAAGCTGACCGCGCGTCTGTCAACTGTATTCAACGCAGTATCTATGCGCGCGGCGGGATAGCCACCCGCGACTGAACCGAGTTCTTATCTCGACCATTATGGACAGGAAACTAAAGTATAGCACTGCGTACAGACAGTCCAACTTACCACACCCACCGGTATGGTTTGCGCTACCGCACACGTGCTCGCATCTATGTAGACAGCAACTTAATCGTCGCGTGTAGTGCTCACTCGATGCTGTAGTTTCAATTTGTGAGCGCACATTAATGGAACATACGCCGTGAGCGCTGATGTCACAGATAGCATGGTTTGCATGTATCCAAGTGAGCGAGTGTACTCTCGATCTATTGTTACGCGGAAGCAGATAGGGACGGTCAGCTTGCAAGGGTTCACAGTAGATACCGTGCGCTAATTATTATTTGAAACGCGCTACCCTCCGTAGGTGCGTCAACACTATTGGCAGCGCCATAGTCAGTTTACCGTATGTGCGGCTCCAAGCCTCGTACCGTCAACCAGTATACTAAATACAAATATAGGTAGGGAAATGAGGGCCTAAAAGGGTGTATTTACCAATTACTTGCTCTTCTGCTGCTTCTTTTGCTCGATGTAATTGGCGTTTCGGGCGGTCAGCTTGCGAGGACGGCTGCGCCTCTTTTTCTTCTTGGGGTAACAGTCAGGACCCATCGCCTTCTTGACGTTCGCCAGGCTTTCCTGGCGGCGCACTTCGGCCGAATCAGTGGTGGGGGCTTTTCCTCCCAGAACTTAACCGCTTTTGGGCCGTTCTCGCAGGCAATACAGCGCCGCACGATGTCCCGCCCGCTGATTGTACAGAATGCGTAGCCGTACTGCAGCTTCCCACAGCAGATGCAGCGCGCCCGGGCATCCGTCGCAGACCGCTGCGGGTTCAGCAGAAGCGGGTCAATCTTCACTCGGCCCACCATTTTGCAAACTGTGAGTATGTTAGCAAATTATATTGTTTTAACCAATTACTTGCGTCCAAATATTAGCCAATAGCAAGGAAAAATAAGGCTGGTATCTATTATTTACAATTATTAAAAAATGATTTTTAAAATTTTGGGTTTTGCTATACTTTCATAATTATCATATTTTTAAACAAATACATACTTTACAGGCAATAAAAGTGACTAAAAGGCTATGTACCGTGCGCGCATGCATTCATCGGGTGTGGTGCACGGGAGAAGATAGCGCAATGACCGTGCAGCCGCGCGCCTTCGTTGCACGGTGGCAGTGGTGAGTGCCAGGTGAAGCTAAAAAGATATATATTCGCAAAGTCCCTACACAAAGCGCTGGTCGTGAAGCCTACTTTAATATTAAAAAATACTATCGTCTCTACTTTAGAAATTGTGTGGAAAATAGCATCACCGAGCTCTTACAATTGCGACCTGTGAGGCTTATATTAAGCATATTAGTACTATTTATATCGTCATTACTTTGAAAAGTGTGTGGAAAATAACATCCCAGAGCTCTTACAAAATACTGGTCTGTGAAGTCTACATTAATAATAATAAATATCTCTATTTGAGAAGTGTGCAGAGCTCTTAGAAAATAAAGTGGTTAGTGTGCCCGATTTGCAGTATCTGCGCAGCTCGCCTGGCCGTTTGCATCCAATCGATGCGTTTCGTGCTCGGCAGAAATGTTTACCTTACGTCCAATCGCGAGGGCGATAGACGGTCTGATCGTGCGACAGATCCAGTCAGTGTCGCAGGTCGGTCGGTATTGCCCAATCAGGGCGCGAGTTAATTGTGTCACGCTTTTGGATATAATTGTAATTTTGGCATAGTTAGGTCGAGTCAGAAAGGTAGGCGCGGTCGGTAGGATAGGAGGAAACTGTATAAGACAGGCCGAGTGTAGCCATGCGAAAAGGCAGGAAAAAGCAGCAAGACGGGGAATGCGACGGACTGACGGACGGACAGACCGACAGGTTACAAGGTTAGAAGCGGGGAGATATATTGTGGGTTCTTCTCGATTTTAAAATCAGCCGACGCCAACTAATAAAACCTATGTTACGGAATGTTGCTGTTTCAGACCATCTCCGACCTATTCACGTCGAAAATTCTCCTTCCACTTACTCGCAATGCTCTTCACTCGTTGAGTCACGACGCATTACTTCAGGTCCACCATGCTCTCCAGCAGGCCCAGGACGCGCTCTAGCCAAACGTGGAAGCTCTCTACTCAACCTGCGACGCTCTCTAGCTGAAAAACGCCTCTCGCCAGCCGTTACACGACGCTCTCCAGTCCGTTCACAGCGTTCTCCAGTCCGCCCGCCACGCTCTTCAGTTGCACCACCACGCTCTCCAGCTGAGTCCCAATGCTCTTCACCACAACCGCAGTTGGCCTCGCTGGAGCTGTAACATTCTTCAACTGCGTCCTCAGCTGACCACAGCGCTCTTTCTCTGCTGATTCACAACTATTGCTTGAGTCACGATATTATCTAAACGCGAGAATACACCCAACTTCACTCGTTGAGGGGTCCTCCACTGAGCCTCGGCGTGTTTCCCTAGATCATACTCAAGTATCGGTGCCGAGCGGCCACGCTCCTCGACACCTCCATCAGCCCGGTATCAACTCGTCGTACGTCCAATTGAGAAGTTAACGATTGTGCAACGCGATACGGCGGGCAACACATTGGACGACGTAATTGTAAATGGACACTCATTCAACGACATTATTCAGAAGATATGGGACCTATTCAGCCTTCACGCGAAATGCCGTGTAGTGATGATATATGGAGGTTGGTCTACTGAGACAGCTGACGTTGGAGAATGGGAAAAGGCTATGCAGCTCAAAGTGAAGCGACGCCCTGTTGACACAACAAAGTCCGAGCAAGGGTGGAGGCAATGGTTAGAGAAGATGCCTGGTGAGCCTGTGACGCTCTTGGTATATGAATATGGAGTAGCTATTACAAGAGCACAAGATCTCGATGCATTCACGCAGACCTGTATCAGGCCAGAGCAAACTGATCGAGCTGGCGTAACCGCTAAACGCTGCTTAAAAGAAGTTGTAGAGAAAATTCAAGCTGAATGGGGGATACTTTCCAAGCTGAACCCGTGGTCTGGCGAATGTGGGGTACGCAAGTCACGAGAAACCTAAATCGGTTCACTCTATATGCAGCAATGAAGCAGCGGCCACCAACCTACACGGCAAATCGGTTTCAACCCGCTGACTCGCAGCTACAACGACACTTGTCCAACAGGATCCAGTTAGCTTATGTAGCTCTAAATTGTGTCAAAAGATCCCAGGCTGAATACAAGGAGCTTCGTCGTCATTGGGAGGCTTACGGACGTCTGTTGGACGAATGTCAGAGACGTCTCGAGGCTCGTCAGAACACAGTCGAGAGCTTTATCCAAGACATTGAGCCGCCGTCTCTTAGTTTGGTTATTGATTCACTGCTTGAGCTCGAGAATATTGAGGACCATGAACATGCAGAATAGGTTTTCGACACGAAGTCGCAACACAGTAAGAAAAGAAAAGTATTGACGTATTTGATTTTTGGCTTACGCTTCGGACGAGATATTCGTGAATTCTAAGTCACTGAGGTTGCGTTCCTCACCTCGAAGCCCAGGTGTTATTTGTTCCTTTGTCGATAGTGGTCCAGATGGATCGAAGTAGCCCTGGATTCGCCATCCACAGTTTTCAAACACGCTGCCCAAACGGTATCAGGTCATGATTGCTAAATTCGATGTAGTGGCGCTGGAAGGATCTCTTCACATAGCCGAACAGGAATTCAATCGGATTAAAATATTGGGCAATGTGATGGTAAAAAGACGGGAACAACCCCCACACTGCGAATGTAGTGGATGATTTCTGGATGTCTATGTATAGAGGCCCCAACTAAGATCCAGACGGAGCTGGGACCAGGCTACTGGTAAACAAATCTTGCAGACGAGTGTACGAAGTCCTGACAGCATTTAGTAAAAAAACAACGATGTCTTCGCTAATGTTAAGATTGTGTTGATTGTGCGCCCATCGACAATAGTCGGGATCGAAAGAATATACTTCCTCAATAGGCTTGTTCTTGTATCTTCCCAAAGTAAGCTCGAACGACATGTTATTGTTAAGGTCTTTCTATATACATAGCCTCTTTAAGTTTTTAAGGAAAAAGTAAAAATATTAAGTAGCTTGGTTACCATTTACTATAGTCCAGACCCCACCACCCAACGTCTTGCGGATATGATATTGTATTTATCCACTTCGAATGCCTTTCTTTATTGCAGTGTTTTGCAAGGTTCCACCTTTTCTTCGATAATCTACACAAGCAAGTAATTCTTCATATTCATCGGAGCTGACATTTTTTTTTTTCATTATCACTCCACTGACTTCTGGTGGCAATGGGATGAAATTTTGAAAATGTGTGCATACCACAACGTTCTTGCAATGATTTTGCTTAACAATTTAATTCATTATCCAAAATGAAATTGCACATTCCTATTATTTGTAGTAAATAATTTACTTTATTATTTGCTTATCAAGATCAAATCGTTTTCGCCATCGCAATCGCTAGCACCAGTCGAGCGGTCCTGAACCTACCCTAATATTAACGGCTTTTTTATTTCAATTATGTAACCGCTCGACCATCATTGATCAAGGTAGCCCATTCCACATAGTATGTGATGCGTCCAATTTTGCGATCGGATGCGCGTTGATGCAGCACGATCACGAGGGTCGTGGTCGTGTGGTCTACGTCAAGTCGCGTCAGCTGAAGCCAGCTGAGCGTAACTCCCCTTACATGACAAGGAGCTCCGTGTCATAAAGTATGCACTCGCGAAGTTCCGAGTGTATTAACTTGGGAGTATACCGTTCGTGGTCTACACCGACCACGATTCACTGCGAACGGCAGTGAAGACTCCGCACATCTCGCAACGAATCGCGAGACGCTTATCGTTCTTTGCGACTTGTACGGCTTCTGGGTTAAGTATAAACCTGGAAGGTTGAATGTGGTGGCCGACGTACTGTCGCGTCGACGTGATTACGCTGTTAAGACAGACGCCGCCAATCCGATTGGCGTCGAAGGGTACGAAGGACATCCGATTTACAGCACAGTGGACGACGATACGGATCGAATCGCCGTGCTGAAAAAAAATGTTCTGCGTATGCGGATCATGAACGAGTATGCCGATGCCCTTATGGAAGGGCATCCGGGCTGTGAGAAGACATACACTCTTCTCACGGGGGACTTCTACCGGAGCCACCAGTACAAGTGGGTGCGCAAGTACATACGTGCTTGCGAAGTGTGCCAACGCGTGAAGCCTGCTGCGTTTTCGCAGGCTCCATTACAATCACTATTGACACCGTCGGAGTGCTAGCAATCAATTTTTTATGGACGTTTTCGGTCTTCCGCCAGCCAACAAGCTGAGGACTGGCGTTGTGGACTTTGTTGACCGATTCAGCAAGATGATTCATCTTGCTGAAGTACCGGCTGACGTACCGGTTGAAGTTACGGCCGTGCAGACGACAGTTGGTGACATGGTGTTCCGACGCCATGGAATGCCGCTCCACATTGTGTCGGACCATGAGCCACGATTTACAGCGCGGTTCTGGCAAGAGGTGTTTACCTTATTGGAACACAACTGTCAATGTCGACTGCGAAAAATCTGCAGACGGGCGTACAGATCGCGTGCTCGGTGACGTACTAAAAAGCTACGCACACCTGTTCCCAAAGTGGAGCGACTGTTTGCTGATGGCAGAGATAGCCTTCAACTGATGGGTACGTGCATCGACTGGGCATTCATCATTTTTCGTGAATGATGTGTGGCATCCACGCCTTCTGAGCTTGCTTGGAACGGTGGCTTCCTCCTTAAGTGAAGGTGGATCTACGGTTGCTTCGAAACAACCACAGATAAGCACTGATGCTGACGTGGTATCCCCAGTGACGACACGAAGACAAGCGTCTAGTTCCGGGAACGAGGCGAAGACAAAGAGCTCTGTGTATGTGTAGGGCATATACACCGCGAACAAGAAGACGTCTGTGTCGGGTACAGCCAGTGCGCAGGCCGGGCCTGCTGCGAAAACAAACACGTCTGTGCGGGGCACATACAGCGAGGCGGTCGGGCCTGCTGTGGAGAAGGAAGCCGTGCTGAACAAGGCATTCAGCATACAATCGCAGGACGACGTTGACCACCGCCGGCACGGCGTCATACAGTTTGTCCAGGTTGCTATAGCAGCTTCGGTAGATAGATAGAAGCGGAACACAGGAAATGTAGGCAAAGGAAACACAAATGAATTCAAATGAGTTCCTTAGTTCTGTTAGCTACATAGACCCTGCCACGACATGCAGTTTCTGACTTTGTTGCAAGCAAGTTTCTCCTCGCTTCAAAGGTCCGTTCACAGTGCGGTATGACAGCTCGTATCCGTTGAACATACCGTTCAGCTTGCGACTTCATCCGACAATTACGTCGAGAGGCTGAAGCCTTACGAACAGCACGAGTCATCTAGCCTTGATGGCTCGAGGATGACGAAACGGCGTGGGCCAGCTTCTCTAGATTTACGACACGATCGTGCACAGCGCGAGAGCCATGATCAACCTGGAATTGACTATACGGAGGGTATCCTTCCGCCCCCACCACCGCCGCTGCGTGTCGCACACGTCTCGACACGCTGGATTGTCCAGCAGGTAGCTCACAATGAAGCCTCGAAGACGACCCGAGATCAGGCTCGTCTTCGTATTCGTTGGAGAGGATTTGCTCTTCATCGAGATACATGGGAGCCACGGGACGTCCTGATCAAGATCATTCCAGAAATGGTGAGGGCGTACGAGGCCCCGAACCGAGTGCAGGCATAATATTTGCACTTGAACGGCGGGTACCGCCAGCACGGGGTGTATCACAATGCTCAAGTTGAGCACGGAGGTTCCGAAGTGGAGTGAGTACACGCACGAAGGTGTACCCGAGAAGATCGCTTTCAGAAAGGCGCACTGCGCCGTAACGGCAGTACGAACACGCAGTTTCAGTTGAACTTCGCAAGGAATTCCCACCTCCATAGTGTGATTATGGCGCGGTCGATGAGATGACGCTTCCAGAAGATCTAGAAGCGCTGGTGGGCCGCGCCAACAGGCTCGCGGTAGCCTTTCGCATTGTTGTTGAAGTTCGCAACAAATGTGTTCCAAGATTGACAAAGTGCCACCCACTCGGTCACCTTGCTTTTGCGCTGAGTAATCTTCGACGCATTCCATAAGAGCTCATGGAAGAGTCCGATGTAGTAGTCGCGCCTTTGATTCGTTAACGAATCAAAATGCATGGAGACGGCCTCAGCGGCATAATTGATGGCGCTGCACGCGTAGGGTCCTATCGGGTTCGGCGGCGATGTCGCGCCAAATCTGTCGATGGTTGCAGATGCAGCTGGTATCCGAAGGCCGCGTACTGGAGGTGCAATACGCGGAGAAGGAGGCGGCACCGACACAGGTGGCTGTGCCTCTTCTTCATTACGCGGACTCTTTGATCCAGGAGCGTCCGGAACATCGCCCCGTACTCGCCGCGAGCCAACAGGGGGGGGGGGTCTGGCGTTGGTTCGGTCGACTTTGAGTCGACAGCTGCAGATGGGGAGGCCTCGTCTTCCATGGGGACGTCTTCAATATCAGACCCATAGTCAATAGGTATCTTTCCGTCCGTAGATATGACAGGGTCACACAGCACCTTGCACAGAGGAAGTGCTTAAGGGTATTAACTACCCGGGTGAACGTAAGTCCACGTGTTCCCGGCCTCAAAGGGAACGTTTTGCTACATAGAGGAGTAGATGTAAGACGGATGTATTTATAAGTAAGATTTACTTGGGTTCCATACAAACTAGAGATTACCTATAGTGGAGCTAAGAAGTCAGGACCTGACTGGCTCCGAGTGCACCTGGTACCGTGTACCAAGTGTCCCCAAGAGTGGAGGGTAACTCGTTATGTAACCTGTGGTACACTGGATTGTACGCCGTTACATCCTCCCTCACTTAACTGAGAATCACGGGATTCTCCAATCACAACTCATTCTCGAATCAGAAGTGACAGAATTAACACACCCAAAGGTGAATTCTCGCACTGAGCAGCCACGAGACTGGCGCAGCTCTCAATCAGACCCACAGTGACTTGTGCGCCTAAAGCTCCCTGGCATTTGCATCCCTATGCTCACAGCTGTGCTGGTCGCAAACCTACACTCAGCGCTGCCTGAGCACTTGCGCTAGCGCGCGTACAGTGCTTTGGCATAGGATGTAATAGCATCCGAACGTGAGCCATTCGCCCACAGTTTACACCAGAGGAAGCGACAGTCCTCGCGAACGCCCGGAACATGGTGTCTCCCCCGAGGGACGACACCGAGAAGGGCAACACCTGCACCAGGACTAGAGGGAGCTCTCGGGCCATGCTTTTGGCTCCAGCAATGATCCATCCTTGCGGGCGGAGCTTCTACCACTCTCTCTTTGCGGCTTGGTCGGCGCGTAGGTGTCCTTCATCGAC